GTGGTGGCACACACCTGTAATCCCAGCTACTCCGGAGGCTGAGGCAAGAGAATCGCTTGAACCCAAGAGGCAGCGGTTGCAGTGAGCTGAGATCATGCCACTGGACTCTGGCCTGGGCAACGAGAGCAAAACTCCGTCTAAAACAAACAAACAAAAACAAAACAACAACAAAAAAATCCTTATCCTATCCTAGGAGATGACAGCTCCATGTGTGTTACTGAACCTGAAGACCTTCCAGTGGGACAAGATGTGGACGTGGAAGACAGTGATACTGATGATCCTGACCCTGTGCAGGTCTAGGCTAATGTGTGAATTTTGCCTGTTAGTTATTAAAACAAAAGCTTAAAAATTAAATCAATTAAGAATAGAGAAAAGGATATGAAGGTATAAAGAAAATGTTCTTGTACAGCTGTACAATGTGTGTGCTTCCAGCTAAGTGTTATTACAAGAGCATAAAAAAGTTAAAATATTATGTTTACAAAGTAAACATGTTACAGTAAGCTAATATTAATTTACTATTTGTTGTTGTCGTTGTTTTGAGACAGAGTCTCGCTCTGTTGCCCAGGCTGGAGTGCAGTGGCATGATCTTGGCTTACTGGAATCTCCACTTTCCAGGCTCAAGCTATTCTTGTGCCTCAGCCTCCCAAGTAGCTGGGATTACAGGCGTGTGCAACCATGCCTGGCTAAGTTTTTAAGAATATTGTTGGCCGGGCGCAGTGGCTCACACCTGTAATCCCAGCACTTTGGGAGGCCGAGGTGGGTGGATCACAAGGTCAGGAGATTGAGACCATCCTGGCTAACACAGTGAAACCCCATCTCTACTAAAAAAATGCAAAAAAAAATAAACCGGCCGTGGTGACAGGTGCCTGTAGTCACAGCTACTCAGGGGGCTGAGGCAGGAGAATGGCGTGAACCCAGGAGGCGGAGCTTGCAGTGAGCAGAGATCGCGCCCTTGCACTCCAGCCTGGGTGACAGAGCGAGACTCCATCTCAAAAAAGAAAAGAAAAGAATGTTGTTAGTAGTGATGGGCTTTCTCCATGTTGGCCAGGCTGGTCTTGAACTCCTGGCCTCAAGTGATCTGCCTGCCTCTGCCTCCCAAAGTGCTGGGATTACAGGTGTGAGCCACCGCAGCCAGGCTACTATTGAAGAAATGAAAATATTTTTTATGTATTTGCTGTAGTCTAAGTGCATGGCGTTTATAAAGTCTACAGCAGTGTGTAGTAATGTTCAAGGCCTTCACATTCACTCATTACAACTCAGACTCACCCAGAGCGACTTCCAGTTCTGTTTTTGTTGTTGTTGTTGTTTTTTGAGACGGAGTCTCCCTCTGTCACACCTTTCTCTGGGCAAGGTGAATCCTTTACCTACAGTAACCTTTCTTTCCTGGGCTTCTAGCTCAATTTCACAATTGTGTTTGAGTAGATCTTCTGAGGTCCCTGAGGTCAGTCCAGGTCCGAGCAAATCCCCGTCTTTCTCACACCTCCTCCTTCCTGGGCATCCACTCATAATTTGCAATTAGATAGTAACTTGATTGACTAGAGCTTTAATGTCTGCTTCTCCTTCCACACTGCAAGCTGCCTGAGGTCAGGGATGGTGTCTCCCTAGTTCCCCCAGGAATATCCAGGGGCTGGCACAGGGGAGCTGTTCCATAAGGGCAGCAGGTGCTGGAGTCAGAGAGACTTGGACGTGAATCCTGGCCTGACCACTGCTTAGATGTGTGGGTTTGGAGTATTTACTCAGCCTCCATTTCTCCATCTGATCATGGGGACCATAGTGCCTCCCCAGTGGATTGTGGTGAGGATTTTGTGAGTCTGGATTTTATGAGTTTGGCAGTGAATTACCAAGAGCCAGATGTTATTGTTCTCAAATACTTGCTGAATGAGTGAAAGAACGAGGGCCCAGCCAGCGTCTGTGGAATGAGTAGGTGAAACAGGAAATGCTCAGCTTCCAGGTCCTCTTGTGCATCCTCCTTGCTCTCGCTTAGCCCCCATGATCCTAATTTGACCCCCTTTCTCCCCTGCATTCAGGGTCAGCACCATGAATGCTCGGCAGGCAGCTCCCAAGACCACCTGCCCCCAAGTGCAGCCACCCCCACCCCAGGGCAGGGGGAAGAGCGGGAGCCCCACTATGCCTCCCTCAGTTTCCAGGGCCTGAGGCTCCGGGAGCCTGAGGACCAGGAGGCCCCCAGCAGCACCGAGTACTCAGCGATCAAGATCCACAAGAGGCGGCCCCCGAAGGGCTTGGGCTTTGGTTGGAGAGGGAGACGTCAGGGATGGTTCCGAGGTGAAGAGTTCTCCATGAAAACAGGACACCAGCAAGTGTGTGGGAGTCGCGCTGGTGTGACAACCAGAACTGGACTCAGATTTCAGCCCCATCCTGAGACTAATAGTTTGAGCAAGTTACTTTACTCCTCACTTTGATCCTCTGCGCGGTGGACACAGTCAGCCTAACTCACAGGGTTCTTGTGAGGCATAAGGAAGTAATTAACATAAAGCATCCATCAGAGGCGAGTCTCATCTGAGTCATGCCTCTTCCCAGGACAGCCCATGATGTGGGCTGACCACCCTGGTCCAAACCGAGACCCTTCTGCAGGGCAGGTCCAGCTTCAGAGCTCCCTGAAGCCTCAGCTGGGGCTGTCCTTGGGTTGCATCGGAGCTTGATTCTCTCTCTGTCGTTCCCGCTCTCCCCACTCCCACTATGGATCCCGGGGCAGCCTACACATCCCTGCAGGCTGCTCTCCGCCTCAGAGCCTGCTTCCTGGGACCTCAACCTCCGTATTTTACCAGACACAGATAATCATCCATTATTTATCTGAAATAAATTATAAATGTGTGAATCACATTACCTCTATCACTAATTATATTTCCCTGATGATTTTGTCCCCCTTAGCAGTGTCCTTTTTCTTTTCTTTTTTTTTTTTGAGACAGAGTCTTACTCTATCGCCCAGGCTGGAGTGCAGTGGCACGATCTTGGCTCACTGCAACCTCCATCTCCCGGGTTCAAGCGATTCTCATGTCTCAGCCTCCTGAGTAGCTGGGATTATAGGCGCATGCCACCACGCCTGGCTAATTTTTGTATTTTTGGTAGAAACGCGGTTTCACCATGTCGGCCAGGCTGGTCTTGAACTCCCGACTTCAGGTGATCTGCCAGCCTCAGCCTCCCAAAGTGATGGGGTTACATGCGTGAGCCACCATGCCCAGCCAGCTGTGTCTTCTTTTTGCACGATTCGCTTATCAAATTCCTTGCAGCTGCAGTCTGCATGCCACTCCCATTCGAATATGGTGTTTGCGGTGGTCACATCCAACTTCTTAACTTCTTTCCTCCTTCCACGGAACATGCATCAGGGAGGAACCACAGGCACCACACGCAAGATGAGCCAGTTCCCTGGACAGCCTGCCAAGGCGTTAACCGCGCTGCTGTGGGCTCTGCTGAGGCGCATTACTGCATCTTTCACACAGAACTTGCTTTCCACGCGTCACTTAGGTGTGGGGATGTGTCCTGAGAAATGCATGGTCAGGCGATTCTGTTGTGTGAGCATCCTCGAATGTGCTTACGCAGTCGTAAATCGTACAGCCTGCCACATGCCGAGGCCATACGGTATAGCCCATTGCTCCCAGGCTATTCACCTGCACAGCACGTTCCTGAACTGAAAGCTGTAGGCAGTTATAACACAATGAATAGGTTAGTCAAAAATGGAGGTTTAGTAAAAATATGGCATAATAGGCCAGGCGTGGTGGCTCACGCCTGTAATCACAGCACTTCGGGAGGCCAAGGCAGGCAGATCACAAGGTCAGGAGTTCAAGACCAGCCTGGCCAAAATGGTGAAACCCAGTCTCTACTAAAAATACAAAAATCAGCCGAGCATGGTGGCGGGCACCTGTAGTTCCAGTACCTGGGAGGCTGAGGCAGAAGAATCGCTTGAACCGGGAGGTGAAGGTTGCAATGAGCCGAGATTGAGCCACTGCATTCTAGCCTGGGCAACAGAGTGAGACTCCGTAAAAAAAAAAAAAAAAAAAAAAAAAAAAGGCATAATAGATAAAAATGGGTCAGGTGCAGTGGCACACGCCTGTAATCATAGCACTTTGGGAGGGTGGATCACTTGAGGTCAGGAGTTCAAGACCAGCCTGGCCAACATGGCAAAACCCCTGTTCCGTTTCTACCAAAAATACAAAAATACAAAAATTAGCCAGGCGTGGTGGAAAGTAGCCCCAGCTATTCAGGAGGTTGAGGCGGGAGAATCGCTTGAACCTGGGAGGTGGAGGTTACAGGGAGCCGAGATCGCACCACTGCACTCCAGCCTCAGTGACAGAGCGAGACTGTCTCAAAAACTAAAACAAAAATACACCACCACCACCAATGTCTGATTAAATCTAAGCCAGGGTTCCATTTTGGGGCAAGGGGCAGGGTGTGGGGGACAGAGAATGGGTTCCAGCCACTGTCAGCTGCATGTCCTGGTGGCACCCGAGCCATTCCCGTCCCCTGTGCTGGGAAATCATCATCTAATCCTGACAACGCCCTCCTCTCAGAGCTCGGGGGATGAGCTGCCAAAACCCACAGGGTTGAGAACTTGGGCTCTGGAGACAGAAGGCCCTGGGCTCAGAGATGTGGGGCCACTGCCCGGGCCTTCCCTGGGCCTGGACCTGGGCTCCTTCCATTGTCTGAGCAGGGTCAGGCTGGGCTGGCTGTGCTGGCTCAAGAGATGAGGAAGGAGGACACAGGGGCTGCCAGGACCTTGAGGCACCGGACTGGGCACTGCCCCAACGGGCAGAGGATGGAGACCGGTGTTGATATTGTGACACTGACCGTCTGCTCACCTGATTTGGGTGCTGAAGTGCAGCTGACGCCCCTAATCTTTTATAGACTTGTGAAAGGAAAAAAATAAAAGTCAAGCTGGGAACAGCTTAGGGCAAACCCACCTCCCAATCTATTCAGAGTCACCCCTCTGCTCACTGAGACAGATGCACGTCTGATCGCCTCCGTTTGGAAAGGCTAATCAGAAACGCCAGAGAAAGCACCTGTTCATCTCTCACCCATCTGTGACCTGGAAGCCCCCTCCCCACTCCGAGTCTTCCTGCCTTTGCTTCAAGTTGTCCTGCCTTTCCAAACGGAACCCAAGTACTTCTTACACATAGTGACTCGTGTCTCAAGTCTCCCTAAAACGTATAAAACTAAGCTGTGCCCCAACCACCTTGGCCACGTCATCAGGACCTCCTGAGGCTGTGTCGCGGCCCATGTCCTCAACCTTGGCAAAACAAAGTTTCCAAATTAACTGGACCTGTCTCACATTTTCAGGGTTCACGGATTCATGTGCAACAAGGGGTCTAAGCAGGACAGGTTTGGGGGGCCGGTTTTTCTGTTGTTAGCGGATGTCCCCTTCTGGAAAGGGGCGCACACACCCGCCTTCAGCCAGGAGATGGTAAGCGGTTCCCTGATCCCACCTGCTTCTCCTGAGTAGGGTTTATCAGTACAGGAGAGTCAGGGCGTCTGAGAGCACTTCCTTCCTTACCTGGCCTCGGATTCTCCACACTCCAAAGTATGATGCATGATCTGAGCTACTCAAGACAAAATTTAGAGAAGTCGGTTTAGCTTCTTTCTTCTTTCTTTCTTTTTTTTGAGACAGGGTCTTACTCTGTCGCCCAGGCTAGAGTGCAGTGGTGCAATCATGGCTCACTGCAGCCTCGACCTGCTGGGCTCAAGTAATCCTCCTGCTTCAGCCTCCCAAGTAGCTGAGACGACAGGAGTCCACCACCACGCCTAGCTGGTTTTTGTATTTTTTGTAGAGATGGGTTTCACCCTGTTGCCCAGGCTGGTCTCAAACTCGTGGGCTCAAGTGATCCTCCTGTCTTGGCCTCCCAAAGTGCTGGAATTACAGGCATGAGCCACCGCACCTGGGCCCCAAAAGAACTTTTGCAGACACACTGGTTCCTTAAGCTCTGGTAAAAAATTTATTACCAAAGCACAGAGGTGTCAAGGGTAGCAGGGGTCCCCCCTGGGGGCTGGCCCAACCCCATCCAGCTTTGCTAGGACACTGGCTGAAGGGCAGGCCACCCAGACGGGGAACTTCACATTCACTGGAGGGAAACGGGGGCGTCTCCCTGAGGCTAATCAGGACTGATGAGTATCCCGAAACCAGTGGCAGGAATGCACATTCCAGGGCTTGTTCTAGAAGCTTATCTGTGATTAAACAGCAGGCCTTGAGTCACATTGCTTCATTTTTTTTTTCTTTCTGTTGCACACTGCAAATGGAAAATTCTAGAAGACAATAAAAATGGCTGTTAGTGTCTCATTCATTCAGGGAACACCCTCTGTCCTTCACTTCGTGCCAGGCACCTTCTAGGTACTGGGGATGTCATCATGACCATACGGGACGAGGAGCCCCTGCTGGGCTTAGGATGCGGAGGAGGGGGGTGGAGACTCCACATTAAACACACGCTTCCCTCCAGAGGGGAGCAAGGGCTGCGTGGAAAACACGCGACGCGATGAGCAGGTGTGTGAGGGGGCAGTGAGGATGCCTCATAGAGGATGGAGAGGCCTCGGATCTTGAGAAGCAGCAGGTGCATAAAACCAGGAAGAGGGGAGCCTTCCAGACCTCGGGATGGCAGGTGCAAAGGTTCCGGGGTGGGGTCCAGCTTGGCCTGGTCTAGAATTGGAGGGGAGGGTGTGTGGCTGGCGCATCATGCACAGGGGAGGAAGGGAGCTCGGCCTCGGGCCAAGGCAAGGAGGTGCTGTGGAGAAGAGGTGAGATGACTTTCAAGGTGCTCGAAGGTCACCGGGCTTCTTAAATGCCATCTCCTCGTTACGTTCCCAACCAAGGGGCTGAGTGAGTGGCCTCCAGAGAACGCACGGGTGTGAGATGGTGGAGACCCTGCAGGGTTGTCAGGTGTCGGGTTCTAAATGCCTTTTGATAAACAAGACATCGATAAACAGGACATTTGTTCCATCGATAAACAGGACAAAGCCTCTGCCCTGTGCTATGCCAGAAAAGCAGAGACGATAGAGTCAGACGCAACCCTGCCCTGGAGAAGCTCGATGCCAGCAGAAGACTGTGACAAGTGACCCATGGTTGGTCTCATCTGGGACCGAAGGTTTGGAGGAGGTTGCTGAGGGAGTGAGGGTGTTGGGGAGGATCCCGAGCTGTCCAGCCTGGAAAACTGGGTGCATGGAGGAGGAGCTCTGCATCGAGCTGGAGAGGTGGGGGAAGGAGTGAGACTGGCACAGAAGGTCATGACTTGACTCTCGGCGCCTCTGGTTGAGGCAGAGAGCCTGCTACTCCACCACAGAGAAGAGGGCCCCCACCCCTCACCACTGGCCCGCTCTGTGCGCAGGTGCTCTGCGAGTCGCTTGGCACACACGTGTCAGCTTATGCTTCAGCCTCAGATGTGAGGAAAGGTTGTGGGAATGTAGAAGCACTTGTAGGCCGGGCGC